CACATATAGTTCATTTCTGAATATTATAGCAAAAGCCAATGATGAACACTCCCTTTGAGTAAACAAAAAAAAGGTTTAAGTTTTAACAGAACAAAAAGGGGAGCAACAGAAGGTAAACAAAACGTCTTTTTCACCAGAATATGTATAAAGGTTGTGTGCGCGTGTGCCTATATGATTTTAAGGGGTCTCATTTGTTGTAAAAGGCACTTAGTGGATTCTGAAACATTAGTTTTTTCCTTGATTAAAGTTATGGTTTTTTGGCCGAAAAATATCTTATTGAAAAGAAAATTTCTTGCTTACCCATTCTTTAATTTATTATCATATAAAGTCTCAAAACAAAGGACTTGAGTAAAAGGTGTTGGATTCTAAACAATTTCCCAATGACTTCTTTTTTTTTTCTTTGCAATGTATATTATATGCACTTAAACTCACTCTGATATAATTACCAGTGGCCGTATTATATATGTGGTATTTGCGTTTCCCGACTGAGTATTCGAAAACAACCCAAATTTCAATCGCCCCTACTCCGCAAGAGGGGGGAGGGAGAAGACGAAACTCCATGAGTTTTATCTGTTTTAAATTTGACTGTCCCTGACTATTTAAATAGCAGAAGAATTCTTAAATGAGAGATAAAGCCGAACTGGAGATAGAACCTAGGTTGGAAAGAAGCTACTCAGGTTGGCGCTCAGTGACCCGGGCCGGGTTCGAATCCCGCCTATGGGCGGTACTTGTTGATTAGGTTTTCAGTCTACACATGTTTTCGGGGGTTTCCCTAAATCTAAACTGCAAGTACCATTGTCGTCGTCCACAAACTTAGTCGCATTGGAAATATGTCAAGTTGACAACAAACATTCCTGTGCTCTCCCGGACGATTGCCAAGTGATACGTAAAGTAAACTAAATAGAGCAAAGTGTGCATAAATTGTCAAGTGCCGCAATCTCTCATTGGCCAATCCAGGTCATGTGATTGATATTCGAGCCGTCAACATTCGAGAGGTCTACATAGAGTTCAGATTAATTGGCCATAAATTCCAGATCACTATCTAAGGGGGACGTTGTGTCAACTATTCCAGTTAGTTTCGGTAAGCATGTTATTACTACGTGTGCTTGTTTCTCGGTGCATTATGTTGTCAAAGAGTTAAAATAAGACACAAATGATTTTTGACTGGACGGAATATGACATAAACCTTTATTCGGGAAAATAAAAGGTTACTTCCTAGCATTTGCTAGTTTGTATACATTGTCGCCAGTTGCGGAATGCAGAAAGAACTCTCGTGGAAAATGTAAGACGCCACATAGGTGTAGTTGAAGGCACACTGTCCTAAAAAAAAATGTTAATTAATCCAGAAACATTATTTCAGCCGGTAAAATCATACCAACGTTTGTAATACAAATTTGTTTGTAAAAAAAAATGTTTTAAATATTGAATGTAATGAACGTTTGGAAACATTTATTACGGAATAAACCGGATGATGTTTTCATTTCGTTTAATAAATAGATTCAGGGAACACGATCCAAAATGGCTTACTCGTGAGTAAGGAGCATTGGGGCCTCATAGGCGCGCTTATTCATGTCAAGGATTTAAAAGTAAATGGATGTTAATGTTCCACATTGGCTCCGCTGAAAGGTCTTTTATTGCTGCTGATTTGAAATTCATATATAAAGAAAATCCAAAAATATAATTCTTCCATTATAGAGACGTCAAACTGATGCAGTTGTAATGCAGTGGCTAATTTTGTTATTATTCTGCAAGTTATCACAAATTTTCAATGGATTATTAATCGTAGAACTGTGTAATTACAACTGGCAGATAGCAATGGAAGACAATTCAAAAAGTAAGACTGCATTTTGTTAAACAAGAGGGTCAGTATGAATTTAATGTTCTCCCTTTTGGTTTGAATGGAGCTCCTAGCACATTGCAAGGTGTCATGTATGAAATCCTCAGAGATTTACATTGGAAAATTGCCTAAATTTTTGTTGATGATATTACAATTTCTTTGAGGTCTTTTGCAGATTATATTGACCATATCTGCGAAAAGTCTTTGATAGGTTTAGATCGTCTGGCCTGAAACTCAAGCCAAAAAAATTTACATTTGAAGAGAACAAGGTACGTTACTTGGGTCACGTTATCTCACAAGACGGAGTAGCTACTGATCCGGCAAAAACACGTATTGTTCAAAATTAAGCAGTGCACACAAATGTATCAGAAGTTGAATATTTTTTTTTAATAAGTGGATATTACAGGAGATATGTAAATAAGTACAGCCAAATTGCTGAGCCACTGACTAAATTGACTAGGAAAGGCATTTAATTTACTTGGTCTGCTGAATGCCAACAGGCCTTTGAACAATAAGCTCTGGTGAAAAATGCGACGCCGATTGCACTTATGGAATACCATACTTTTCGTCAATTTTCATTTCCTCCTTCTGGATACCGTCCAACCACGACAGAAAATACCACGTGACCATAACAATACTGCACATAAATTATCTTGCCGCCGTTAACAAAATTGTCATAAACAACTTAACGAATTGTTACACAAGTTTTAGAGTGCATTTTACGGACGACGGCATGGCATTTACTCATTTTTTGTAAAATATTTTTGGTCAGGTTTTCGGCGACCAACCAACCGACCGACCAACCGACACCAAAGTGAGTTGTACCAGCTCCTGTCAGAGATTTGGCAAGCTGCCATAAATATAAACCACTTGCCATACATTGGGAAATCCCATTCCGGACCCTGCCCTTGATTATCGGGAAGGATCATGGGTTCTCTTCAATGGATAAGTGGGCGATAAGATCTGTTTTTGTATTTTCATTGGTTGTTAGTTTTTTAATTGTTTTGGGGGTTGGTTGGTTGATTGTTTGTTTGTTTTTTAAAACAAGATCAGCCTAAAAAAAATCACATTGGTAAGACTAGGACCGCAACATTCATGAAAACAGTTAGACACCAAGGCCCTCTTCTTTGGAATCAGCTTACCCCTATACCCTTCTTTCGGACTGTGCATCAATTCAAAAGATATCTATAAAAAAAAACCTACTTATTTCCGGTATTATATAAGACGTGCACCCATAATTCGCATTTGTATAAGTCACACTCCATCATAATTAAATGTTATATTGTACAGGGGTGTGAGTGACCACTGATAAAAATAGCTGAAAACAGCTGAAAAAAGGTGTAAAAGGGCTGAACTTTGGAAATCTCCTATACTTTTGTACACAGTAAGAGAGGGAAACAAGCTGAAATCCAAAACAAAAAAAGCTGAAATCAGCTTTAAAGCTGAGATTTCACACCCCTGATTGTAAATAAGTACATGTATATTTCAATTTCCTTCAGTTTTTCTACAATTATGCCAAGTAAATAATTGATTAATTAATTTATTGATTTAATTAATACTGTTTTAAATTATAGCTATAATTGTTGTTTATTTCATAAGTTATTCACAAACGGGACCAGGCTCTGTATAAGCTTAGGCTTTTTTCCTGGTTCCCCCATCTGTCACCATTTATGTTTAATTGATCAAAGTGTTGTACATGTATAAGCATTCTATTAATTTTAGTTATTGTTGTAGTAAATAATCTGTTGCATTTGCATTATATTAATTTGTGACAAATGGAAATAAAACAATAAAAATACAATACAATAAATCAAAAGTTTTTATAATGGTGTGTCAAAAAGTTATCGCTTTTCTTTACGATGTTGACTAGTACCATTTAGTGGCGTAAACAGTTTAGTTTCAAAGTACATACACAAGTCATTTTTCATTAAATGGCAGTAAGCATATAGACCCCAAAAGTCTGTCTTTAGAAATCTTTTTCCCTATTAAGAAATAGGGAGTTTAAGATTTCAATGGAAACATAGAGATTTTTTTACCATTATTTTGAGGGACTTCAGCTATATATATTTTGCTGTAGCGAACATCAAATCCTATAATACGACGCCTACATTAAGTGTTTCCATTTAGTTGTTTTTTATTAATCCTCCTATCAAATAGTGCACAATCTTGTTAATGCGAGAGGGGTACTTGTGTTTTTGAGGGGCAGTTTTGCATTACAACAGATATATTTGTGTGCGTTTGAGGGGCAACTTTGTTTTCATCTCGCCCTTATTCATGTCAAGGATTTAAAAGTAAATGGACTTTAATGTTTCACAATGGCTTTGTTAAATTCATATATAAAAACAGAATTCTGGAAAAAAAGGCTTACATTTTATTTGAAATGAATTATTGCATTTTTGCTTCCATTATAGAGACGTCAAACCGATGCAGTTGCAATGCAGTGGGTCATTTTGTTATTATTCTGTAAGTAATCACACAATTTCAATGGATTATAAAACGTAACATTTTGTAATTCCAATACTATTCCAATAAAGTACGGAGACCCTGAAAGTATATACATTCAAATAAGAAATGAAATATCTCGTGCGCATGACATTATTGGCTGAGATTAATATCACCTAAAATACGTAAAGTGTGAGTAATTTTAGGAATCGTTTACTTAGTTTTATTATCACACTCTCTATTGTGCAGATTTTCGGAAAATCTCCAATAATTGATTTATCTCGCACGCATGGGGTATTTGTGTCCCTTTAGGGGCTCCGTATGTTACCAAATTATTGGGGTTGGCTGGGGGAATTCCGATTTCAAATTATTGTCAAATACCGTTTGGGAAGAATGATTGAACCACGCTTCGTGAAAGGCAGCAATGATTCTACCCTAATGGTATTATGGCTGAATGCATATCAATCATGAGGACAAATCTGACGGTGGGTTCATTGTTTCACAATGCGAGAGAAAAACAATAGGATTGGCCTTTGTTTACTGTAAATTTTCAGAACAAAATGTGTGCAATATAATGATTTGAGAATGAATTTGAAAGCAAAACATGCGATTGTCAGTGACTGGTTTTGCTGACTAAAACTACTTTGAATTTATTTTTTTGCATGTCATGTCACAAAATCAGAAACTGCATTTCTTGTTCTGTTTTTTTTTAAGGCGGATTCGCGCAAGCGAACACTGATGGAACCGTGTTCCTGGAACGAGGCCACCGCGGGATCGTGCCCTGTCCTCTCGTCGAATCTCGCCAAATCCCGCCACGTGATGTCGTCGCGATGTACTGGTACTATGGCTCAATCAGCAGCACATCCCTGCTCATCTCGTACTTCTTTGGAAGTGTGGCTCCTCAAAACGGGATCCCAGAGGGCGTCTATGATATCGACGATGAGTTTAGTCTCGTCATTGAGAACGTCACCGCCTCCAATGAGGGAACCTACTACTTTCAGTTAAAACCGCATTTGAAAATGATAGAAGAGGGGCAGGTGGAAGTCTGTGGCGAGGGTGAGTGTTTAAACACCATCCTGTAACACCACACTGTTGCTTTTCCCGCCATTATTTTAGCACGAATAGAGCACGGGGCGCCATTCGGCATCTTACGAATGGCATGCTGCGCGCATATTTTCCCCGTACTGTTGAAGCAATTCATAACATTTAATACATGTATAGTTTCATAGGAATCACATCAAGACTTAAGTTTTCGTTATCCTTTTTCCCTTTAAAGCAAACTGTCCCAACTATGAAGTTGGATCAGAAAAACAGTCATTGGAAAATATACGTAGCAGGATTCAAACTACGGATCTTTTTATACTTTTAATTCCATTGATGTGATCTTCCGGGATTTGCAAGGAAGTTCGGCAGCAACTATTTTATATGCGCAGTATAAAGCTGTTTGTTTAGTGGAACCACATGCCATATTCCATTCAAATGAGAACCACCTTATTGACCTCAATATTTGTTGCATGGAGTACACATCGAAATAATACCATGATCCCGCTCAACACAGGAAATAATTTCGTTTGGAACATGCCTTACTTTGAAATATGATCTCAAAAGTGTTGATCGGGTACGTTTCTATTGGTCGATTTGATTTCTTAAGTTTTTCAACCGTTACATTTAGGATTGTTATTTTGTTAATGTTTTTTGCATACGTGTTATAACGTAGTAATAATCAAGTACACTGTATCTGTCAAATTATTTCGAATCCCCCCCCCAAAAAAATAATTTCTACATTTCCAAAAAGAAAAGTACCTTTGAACGTCTATTTCTTTCAAGATCTAGTTAGTCGCATTTAATGAATTTTTTTCAGAGGCTATTCACAACAAAACCCGTAGAATCTTGAAATAATCTGCAATAAAGTGTAGATTCGTACAAATAATCTACACTTTAACAAAAGTGTGACGTCACCTAAATAGTTTAAATGCAGGTATGCAAATGTGACGTAACTAACAAAAATCCAAGCCTTTTAAGACTTTTTACGGAGTTTCTATTTTACTGAAATAAAGGTGAATTGAAAAACGAGGTGATCCGTTGATCTGAGGAAAGTTTGCATGCCTGTATAATTATGATCTAACACAAGGCATTGGATTATTTGGACGGTCACAAATTTTGTACTATAGGCCAATGCAAATATGTAATTGTCTGGTGTTTGGATGTTCTTATTTTTTGGCATCCCATAATTTACTTTGCTAACTCAACTTCCCACCGAATGTCTCACATGCAGCTCGTCTGGTACAACCTACCATTCGCGTCATCGGCTGTGATCAAGAAATTGACCATGAAGACACGTGCGAGATGAGAGTACGACACGACAGCACGGTGCATAACCTGACCTGCGTCATGGAGCAGGTCAAACCTGCCGTGGAACTGAGGTGGATCCGTCTGCTTGGAGGCGGGCTGACGGAACTTAATGCGTCCACATCAGTCAGGTCTGAAGTTCTACCGGCAAACACGGGTAAGCAGAGTTCATCCTTACCGTCAAGTTACTGAGGAGCGGACATTTAAGTGCGCAGAGCCACGCTACGAACGTCTGATATATCATACTAGCATGTACATTTTATGCGACCCCGCACGCCAGCCAATCAGAGTTTGTTTTTAATTGTGACGTTATTTCAATCAGAAATGTGGACTAATCTGTTTATTGGTAAAATCGGCTGCCTTTTTGTAATAAAACAACAGCTTACGGAAAACCAATCGATCTCCATTATAACTTTTATATTGGAGATCAATAAACTAATGGAGATCAATGGGAATACTCGATAGAAGGCGCCTACCGAATGGTCAGAATATCGAGGTCAAGACGCACTCTTGATTCGCATAATATTAATCGCTGAATTGTGCGAATATCATAGACGCATGTATGCAAACTGCTATTTCATTTGATACCCTCCGCGCTGTCCCCAATATTAGTTTTCGTCAACAAATCTTGTGTCTGTCTGTCGTGTGTCTGTCAGTCGGCTTTGAACAGTACCACCATACATCAGACAGGTTAGAGCCTGAAATGTCACGCATGGTGACGCGCTTCCTGAATCATTGATTAGGAAAAATTCACGTGTAAAAGTTGTGGAATTTGCAATTATTTTTGGTACACATATCTTAAGGCATTTATGCCCTGAAAAGGATCTTTATAAAATGACACTAGCATATCAAGATTTGACCTCTCACTGCAAATTTTGAAACAATAATGTGGCGGTTAAAATTAATACTCGTTCGTATGCCAGTACGTGATGTGAAAACAAACGTGGACTGACAAGGACCCATATAGGCCTAGGCACAAAAATGCCAGATAGGAAAGGTTGTAAATGTAATTCGTTTTTGCCCTTCTCCGATTGATTTTTCATCATTTGTTTCTTGAGAAACACCAAGATAAATCTCCAACATTAGTGGTCCTTGGGGTGGTTATGGTTTGAAATCATTCTATAAAAAACCTCATAACAGCCCTGTGTCAATATGCCCATAGGCGGGCCACGCGAGGGGTTCTTGAAGCTCGCCGCATTCAGGCTCTTTTATCAGTATATTAATACCTTACTTTATCGATCAGTTTCGTCGTATATGAGCAACACCCATTCAAGATCAGCGTCAATCCAAGTTCCTTCGGTAGACGATGATACAGAATACGTGTGCCAGGCGATTGATGTTACTGAAGGCGGAGGAATTACACACATGATTGTACGCTTTGCCAAAGCTCATCCCACACCGGCAACTAACGATGAAGTTCAGACATCTAACAATCGAGGTAGGTTTCATTTTGCGAAGTTTTGAAGTAATCTGGATGCATGGATATATATCCCAACCATATCCCAGGGAAAAATCACTAAACCACGCTGAGTGAACTGCTACGACAGTTTTCTCCAATAACAATAATGCGACTGAACTCATATACAATAACAAAGGTAAATCTGGCGGTGTTTTGGCCTAAATGGAGGAAAAAATGATTGGGATTTTGTTAAATAACCGTAAGTTATTACGAGCAATACAATAATGAAAAAAAATGTGACTCAGCAAAAAGTAATACTGGCCAGGAATCGTTTTGCTGAGTAAGACTTCTTTGAATAGATTTCTTAGGCAATGTACTGCATTCAGAAATCATTTTTCGTTCATTCGATTTAGGTGCTTGCATCCAAGCGAACACTGATGGAATTGTGTTCTTGGAACGAGGCCACCGTGGGATCATACCCTGTCCTCTCGTCAAATATCGCCAAATCCCGCCAGGTGACGTCGACGTGATGAACTGGCACTATGGCTCAATCAGTAAAACATCCATGCTGATCAGAAATTCCTTTGGAAGAGTGACTTCCCAAAACGGGATCCCAGAGGGCGTCTATGATATCGACAATGAGTTCAATCTCGTCATTGAGAACGTCACCGCCTCCAATCAGGGAACCTACTACTTTCAGCTGAAACCGCGTTTGAACAGGCAGGTAGAGGCAGGACAGGTTGAAGTTTGTGACAAAGGTAAGCGCATGATGATAATGATTTCCGCTTAAAATTTCCCCTTTGGAATACCAATACTTAGAGATCTGTACCCAGAAATAAGGAGACCTGTAGCCTAAACGATATCTCTGACGATTACGTACCCTGGGGTATGATTTGATTGGCCAAATCTTTGGCTTAATTGTCCAATTTTGAACGAAGAGGGCACCTTTAGCAACACTACTTTCTCGGAATACAAACATAAGAAAAATCCAACTTACTTTAGCAATTGAATAAGTTTAATTTGCTAAATAAAGATTGTTAAAATGTAGTACTTAATAGCAAAATGTACGTCAGTAACCTTCCATTCATATAATGTCATCCCCAATGTCAACGTCAAAGCCCCCTCACAAATTTCTCATGGGTTTGCAGCCACGTTATTAATTTACTTCCCCCGAATACTTCTCACCAACAGTCTCTCCAGGTCGTCCATATCCTACCGTCATCGGCTGCAATCAAGACCACGATGCAGACACGTGCGAGGTGAGAGTACAACACGGCAGCACGGTGTATAACCTGACCTGCGCCATGGAGCAGGTCAAACCTGCCGTGCAATTGAGGTGGATCCGTCTGTTTTTGGGCGGGAAGACGGAACTCAACGCATCTACAACAGTCAGGCCTGTAGTTCTACCGGCCTACACGGGTAAGCAGCGTTCTTCTGAAGATTGCATTCTCCGTTTTTTTTTCTCGAGTTTCATTCCTAAAAAATATAATCCTTTTCTAAATAGCTTTTGTTTTAGCAATACCAAATGTATTCCCTTTTTTAAGCTAGTGACAGAAAAAAAATCGGCCCACGTTTTAGTTATATGGAATTGTTAGATTGCAAATTGCGAATTACTGGCAGTATGGGAAAGGCTAGTTCCCGCCCCGCAGTCAGTATCGATAATGTACAGACCGCGAGCCAATCTACTCGCTATGGTCGGATCTGTTTGTGCCCAAAATAAAAAGTTTTCTTACAGGGTTGGAGAAGCCCTAAAAAATAAAAAAATAGGGGGAAGTGGAGAGAGATTGAAAATGAAGTTCAAAATGTATTAAGAGAACAAACAAAAAAACACAGTTTTGTTATTGATGAGCGCGGGAAACGCAATTTCAACATCGTACAGAGTATTGCTGTTTGATTTTCAGTGGGTTTTTTTAATAATAAGCTAAAGTGGTTGAACAAGTAGGGCCTACGATACTACATCCAGGTTTTTTCATTTTTGATTTCCCTAGAGGTCGGATATTTCTTTCCCGACAGTTTGCCCCGTCATGCTTAGCTTGCAGAGTTGACTAATAACAAGATCTAGTCAAGTTGTTAGTTTGTTGCAAGAATTTGCTTAATCTGAGAACCATTGATTAAATATAAGCACAAGAGCCTTGGTAAATCGGCACCTAAAAGAGCTTCTCAAAGCTTGTACATTCTCCCTCTTTGACTGAAGAATGTTCATGCTCTCATACAAATGGTACAATTTGTATAGTTGATTTGTCAACATTAAAGATTGATTTCAAATCAATTAATCAGGGTCGTTATTGAGAAACAACACCTATTCAACTTCAGCATTAGTCCAATTGGCAGCAGTTGACGATGAGGAAGTATACGAGTGTGAGGCAGTGGGTGTTGCTGTAGGAGGCAGTACACGCACGAGGGTTCGCCTCACCAAAACTCACCCCACAACGGCAACTCATGACACAACTTACAATGAAGTTCAGTCCTCCAATAATCCAGGTAGGTAGCAGTGTCATGTCGGAACCATTTCTTGAGGTGAATAACTGTCAATTTGGTTGAGGGTAAATCCTCCCATGTATCACCCATCGCAGAGGAACAAAGACCTCCCTCGACGTGACTTCACATGCAAGGGTTCTATTGGGTAACAATGAAACTCGGGGAACCAATTCTGATACTAATTGAATCAAGTCAGATATCAATTGAATCAAGTCACATATATAAATCGAATCAAGTCAGAAATCAACTGAATCAAGTCAGATATCAATTGAATCAAGTCACATATCTATCGAATCAAGTCAGAAATCAATTGAATCAAGTCAGATATCAATTGAATCAAGTCAGATATCAATTGAATCAAGTCACATATCTGTCGAATCAAGTCATATATCAATTGAATCGAGTCAGATATCAGTTGAATCAAGTCAGAAATCAATTTAACGGAGTCAGATATTGTACATGATTATGGCAACTTGATTTTCTTTCAGAGACAACGCTTGTTTTGGCTCATAAAGTGTCACCAACTTCCCGCAAACGTGCTGGGCAACCCGTTGCTGTGATTGCGCCAGAAGTCGGATTTTCAAGGGCAAATGTATTTTCTCGGGAAATCCTAACCACATCTCTGGAACGAATCACTGAACCACACTTTGTGAACTGCTGCAATGATTTTCTCCTAATTATTACACAAATGCATTTACTTGCAATCATTAGGGAATTCTAACGGTATTTTGATCCAAATTGACAAAACATATGATTCGACTTTTGTGATTCGATACGATTCCTATGATACAATTCGGCCTACTTTAAATTGCCGTAACTAAACTAATCACGAGCAATACAATGTTGTCGGATTTGATTTAAACAAAAATGTAAAAAGGAATCGTTTAGCTGCAACAATACTTCTTTGAACAGATTTCTTAGAAGGTGTAATCAATTCAGAAATATTTTCTCGTTCATTTGGTGCAGGTGGACTCGTCCAAGCAAACACTGATGGAACCGTGTTCTTGGAACGCGGCCAACGAGGGATCGTGCCCTGTCCTCTCGTCATATCTCGCCAAATCTCGCCGGGTGACGTCGACGCGATGTTCTGGTACTACGGCTCAACGAGAGACACATCCCTGCTCATCTCGTACTTCTTGGGAAGAGTGGCTCCCCAAAACGGGATCCCAGAGGGCGTCTATGATATCGACAATGAGTTCAGTCTCGTCATTGAGAACGTCACCGCCTTCAATGAGGGAACCTACTACTTTCAGGTCAAACCGCGTTTGAAAATGCTAGACGAAGGAAAGGTGACGGTTCGTGACAAGGGTAAGTGCACGATAATAATGATTTCTTGATCATGCAACCAGGCGCGGTTCTAGATCTCATTTTTTTTTTTTGGGGGGGGGGGTAGACACTTCGCACGTTAGGTCACTTTATATATTCTAAAGTTACTTTTGGCTGTTTTGGCAAAACAGCCTTTGTTTTCGTTTAAGTTTTTTTTCAGAATCCTGGCCATAGCATTTGTACACGTTTTTATCGTGCCCTACCATTTGGGCGCTTAAATTCATCCGATTGCCTTTATACTTACTTGGCATACGAACATCCCAGCACCTGCAGATTTTTGCCGAACATTGACGTTATTATGACGTCATCACGTGTCACTAGGCGTTAAGTTTTGAAGGCCTTTATCTTTAACTGCATAGTTTGTCCAGGCTTTTCCACCTACAAGCCTTGGCTTATGAACAGCCTTATACTTTCACATTACTCTTTTTTTTTTTAAATTTACCTATCTATTTACCTTAATTCAATTAATTAACTTTAAGTATGTATCACTGTGTTATACTTTATATGATCCCACTTTGTATTGGTTCACTAGAGAGTTCAAATTGAATGTCTACTGAATTGAATTCAACAATTTTGTAATCAAAGATTGTAAATTTGTAATATATTTAAAGAGCAAAACGTTAAAGCAGCCTCACTCAAGAAAAAGGCTTTCCCACTCCAAAATTTTAATTTTTGCTTCCACGTTAACTTCTTTCCGAATTCTTCTGACCAATAGTGTACCCGAGTCGTCCATATCCTACAGTCATCGGCTGCAATCAAGATCACGACGCAGACACGTGCGAGGTGAGAGTACGACACGACAGCACGGTGCATAACCTGACCTGCGTCATGGAGCAGGTCAAACCTGCCATGGAATTGAGGTGGATCCGTCTGTTTCTTGGCGGACAGACGGAACTCAATGTCTCCACAATGGTCTGGCCTGTAGTTCTACCGACCTACACGGGTAAGCAGCGTTCTTCTGAAGATTGAATTCTCCGTGTTTTTGTTTTGTTTCAAGCTTCATTCCTAAGAAATATTATCCTTTTCGAAATAGCTTTTGTCTTAGCAATACCAAATGTTTTCCTTTCTATGATATCGACAGAAAACAAATCAGCCCACGTTTTATGGAATCGTTAGACTACAAATTGCGAACTATACTGGCAGTCCGACAATAAGTTGCGGGGAACGTTGGTTTCCGCCCAACAGTCAGTATCGATAATGTACGGACCGGGAGCCAGTCTACTCGCTAGACAAATCTGTTTGAGCTCAAAATAAAAAAACACCTTTTCTTAAAGGGTTGAAGACGCCCTCCCAAAAACAAATTAAAATAGAAGGGAGGGGAGAGATTGAAAATGAGATTGAAAATTGAATTTGAAAAATGCAATAAAAGATCCAGAAGAAACACAGTTTGTTGATGAGCGAGGGAAACGCAACTTGAACATCATGCAGAGTATTACTGTTTCGTTTTGACTATTTTTTATTATAATAAGCTAAAGTGGTTGAACAAGTAGGGCTTGCAATACCAATTCCAGGTTTGTCCTTATTGATTTCCCCAGAGGTTGGACGTTTCTTTCCCTACAGTTTGCCCCGTCATGCTTGCCTTGCGGAGTTGGTACAAAAAGGGGTGCGTTCTTTCAGCAAAAAAAAAACATCCCTATGTGATTTGTTTTCGTTTTGCTCAAAGAACTGTGGATAGAACTTTAAAACGGTGGTTGTGTTTAAAATTCCGTACCTTTAAAAGTGCTACATGCAAAACTTCTCTAAAACAGTTGTCCCGACATTTGGTTTCGTATTTTTTTACTCACCCTGTAGTCAAGTTGTTAGTTTGTTGTAAGAGTTTGTTTAATCTGAGTACCATTGATGAAATAAGCACAAGAGCCTTGATAAATCGGCACATAAAAGAGCTCCTCAAAGCTTGTACGTTCTCCCTCTGTGACTGAAGTGCGTTTCTGCTTTTGGAACAATTTGCATAGTTACTAAGTTTATATTGTCAACATAAAATGATTAATTTCAAATCAATTAATCAGGGTCGTCTATGAGAAACAACACTTATTCAACTTTAGCATCAGTCCAAGTGACAACAGCTGACGATGAGGAAGTTTACGAGTGCGAGGCAGTGGGTGTTGCTGTAGGGGACATTACCCGCACGAGGGTACGCCTCACCAAAACTCACCCCACAACGGCAACACACCCCAAAACGGCAACTCATGACGCAACGGTAACATATGGCACAACGACAACTTACAATGAAGCTCAGTCCTCCAATAATCCAGGTAGGTAGCAGTGTCATGTCGGAACCATTTCTTGAGGTGATTAACTGTCAATTTGGTTGAGAATTAATCCTCTCGTGTATCACCAATCGCAGTGGAGCAAAGAATTCCCTCGACGTGACGTCAAATTGGTAACAATGAAACTCGGGGAACCAATTCTGACACTAATTGAATCAAGTCAGATACCGATTGGATTAAGTCAGACATCAATTGAATCAAGGCAGATATCAATTTAATCATGTCAGATATCAATTCAATCAAGTCAGAAATCAATTTAACAGAGTCAGATATTGTACATGATTATGGCAACTTGATTTTCTTTCAGAGACGACTCTTGGTTTGGCTCGTAACGTCGCTGTGATTGTGCTGGAAGTCGGATTGTCAATCTTATTCATCGCCATCCTCATTATCCACGTTGTAAGTACAGTTGACGCTCGTTTAAACAAACTCCGTTAATTAATATAAATTTTGGTTATAGTGAACATATATCATTGGTTCCGACCTTGCATTTATGTTAACAATTAATGGGACCGACATTCCTTAAATATTATTATAATGATTGTTATTAATGCAGATAAATTTAAAGACGAAACACAAGAAAGAAGAGTTCGCATCGAAGACGAGGGTTGCGGACTGGGTCAGATCTCCGGAGTGTAAATTTTATACCGAAGTTGTCAAATTGGGAGGCAGATCGTGCGTCTTTTCAGGAACCAGCGACGATGGTGAAGGTGATCGTGTGTAGGAAGTAAAATTGTGTTTCGAGAATGGATGTAATGTCTGATCTTATGAATACTGAAATATTCATTTTAATTTGCTTGCCGGTGATAAGTTTTTGGTTTGTTTTTTAAAGTGGATACCACATTAAAAATGTAATCTTGAAAAGCGACTTTAAGATGTGTACAATGTAATTATCTGAACAAAAATATTTTCAATTATGCAAATGAGAAGTATTTCGTATGTATGTATTTTGTATATGTTGATTTTATTGGCGTGTATTCAGATAAAATAGAAATTGCAAAGTTGTTATTTTTTGTACAGGTCGTAAATATGAATGAATATTGTACTCAAGAGGAACGAAAAATTATTATCATTTTGTGTACAAATTGCCATTAATAATGTGTATTGCACATAATAGAAATCGAAAAATCATCATCATTTTAGAGCATGTCCCTATTTTGATTTATTGTTAATAATATATATTACCATTCTGACCATTAACCATCAATCCGCGTAATAGGATCCATGTTGGCATAAAAGTATTCCGCAAAAGGTAATTGGCTTTTCCGCAAAGTTGCGGAAAAGCCTTTGTTTTTGTTCTCATTTTTTTTTTTTTTTTTTTTGGCTTCTTCTTTTTGTCGCCTAAATCCCATAGACTTTGTGCACGTTTTTTCTCAACGCCACTTTTGGCACTAATCTTTGTCATACATCATTCAAAGTTAGCATAAGCATAGCCCCTATAGCAAAGATGTGTCCCGAAGATTGACGTCATGGTGACGTCATCGACTAATTTATTATAGATTTTTGAATATTTAATTTTTCCCATAGACTTTGTACACAGAAATTAAAAAATAATTGTCGATTTTCAAAGGGCATTTTTGACTCTTTGCCAGTAATTTATTTACACCAATCTTTGTCCAAGCAAAGACCCTAATTCAAACAACATTGTGGAATGATGACGTCATGATGACGTCATCCTGTGTTTATTTATAGGCAATTAAATTGTGACACTTTTAATATTAAAAAATGCATAAGAAATCAACTGTACGCGTCCGCAGCATTCTGTTGCCGGCAAGTGGTAGAACAGGTTAAGGTCTTCATTTCATTCAGTGTGCGTGCAATCACGTGACCCTTGCTTCCGGTCGAAAAAGGCCCAAACAGGAAGTGGCTTATTATTTGAAAATGGTAATAGAAATGAACTTGCTTTTAACAGTGTTAGTCTCTTGGCCGATAGAATTCTTCAAATCATCTACCGATGACGTCATGCAATCTTCGAGCGCCCTCTAGCGACAGGTTGAAAATTAGCAAAAATGTATTTTGAATAGATGTCTGTGGCGAAGTTTGTCCGAATCGCCTAAATATTGGTGTATATGATGACCTTGACCCACTTAAGACGTGTGCGAAGTTTTAGGCGAATGATGTCATCAGACCGGAAGTTATAATAAAAAGACCCTTTTTCATTTGAAAATTCCTGAAAAATTAACCATGGCAGTTTTTATATTTGTTTTTACTTTAATTGTCGATTGAAGGGTAGGTCTAAAACATTTCAAAGTTTCGAGGCGATAAGCGAACTCGAACATACCCTGCGCACGCTTAAAACTTCACGTTGACAATACCTCTGCTTCAAAACATGCACAGGACAGGACGTCCACAATACACGTACGTTGTACATAGGCACATACATCGTATGTCAGTCAGCCTGCAGCGCACGTGTTGCCGAGGTCAAATCCTGTCCACAGTGACCGTTTTAGCCGATTTTCGGCTAACTTTGACAGATTTTATGCTCATGCATGCGCATAGACAGGGACGTATTATATCACTTTTGGCATTAATCTTTGTCAGACATCATTGAAAGTTGGCATAAGCATAGTCCCTATAGCCAAGATGTGTCCCGAAGAGTGACGTCATGATGACGTCATCAAGTGATTTATTATGGATTTATGAATAATTATTTTTTCTCATAGACTTTGTACCCAGCTTTCTCCACAAGTCTTTCCCTATACAACACTGATATATCTTTAAGTAGTTCTGAACTTCGGCTGAGAATTACTATGAGAAGGAAAAAGAAATCGTATTTTTTTACGCCTGTCATTTGATTGAAAATATTCCCAAGAGTTAGAATAGCAAGTAATATTTTATAAAAATGTTTCAGTTTAAAGGAAAATCACTAATTTAAAGGTGCAGTTTTTCTGCTGTGGGATTTTTAACCTATTGACTTTGTACACGTTTTCAAGCCACCATTTTCATAACTTGGCGATCTGGAATCGTCATCAAAGTTACAGCCAAGAAAGACCCTCATACAAAAATTATACCAAGACCAAGACATCATGATGACGTCATCATCAAATGATTTATTATGGATTCATGAATAATTAATTTTTCTCATAGACTTTGTAGTTTGTACACAGCTTTCTCCACAAGTCTTTTCCTATACAACACTGATATATCTTACTGAGTAGTTCTGAACTTCGGCTGAGAATTACTATGAGAAGGAAAAAGAAATCGTATTTTTTTACGTTTGCCATTTGATTGAAAATATTCCCAAGAGTCAGAATATCAAGTAATATTTTATAAAAATGTTTCAGTTTAAAGGCAAATCACGTATTTAAAGGTGCAGTTTTTCTGCTGTTGGATTTTTAACCCATTGACTTTTATGTGTACACGTTTTCAAGCCACCATTTTTATAACTTGGCGATCTGGAATCGTCATCAAAGTTACAGCCAAGGAAGACCCTCATACAAAAATTCTGCCTAGACTATGACGTCACGATGACGTCATCACCTAATTTTTTTATTGATTTTTGAAAATTTACGTACATATTGTGAAGTCTTATATCTACAGAAATGTAAGTCCGATTGGGTTGAAACTTGCTATGTGGCTATACCAGGATGTGTTATAGATTAAAAATGAGGTGACGTCATGATGACGTCATCCTGAGATTTTATATGAATATTTATTTGTTTGGACCTTTTAGCCATATCTCCCGAACGCAACATGCGAAAATGCAAAATTCTTTTGACAGATTTTATGTTCATGAATATTCAGGGCATATTATTGATTAAAAAAAATCATAATGCGGAAAAGCCCTATGTTCTGTTGCAAACAGACATAGATCTCTAGTTATTATATCCAGTTCTACTTGGCTATAGGGGATTTAGAGGGGGGGGGGGGGGGTCGCAACCCCACCACTCAATCAATCACTGACTGACTTAAATAGAACGCTAAAGCTTTTTTACAGTATTTTTTTACGAATGGCTTCATAATGCTGGAGAAATTTCCCAAGGGCAAGCTCCACGGGAACCCCCCCCCCCCCCCCCCAGCAAGGTATGCCTTCAGCACGCCTTCACTCAACCACCCTTCCATGCACCATCATATTCCACTCCACTTTTAAGATGGATGGATGGGGTATTCTTTTATACAAATATCAGGCCTTTGACTGAGGGTGAATTGACCCTGTATTAACCAGAGATTAGAATCTATCTCCAAAATGACGACACTAAAATAATTGAGAGGTTATATTACTATTGCATGGACAACGCAGCAGGCCTAGTTGTTGTATTTACTTGAGTCCTGTCAGGGATGTTGGGTTTGCAAGGGACTGAGCATGACACATTCAAAGGAAACATGCAATAGGATTTTTATTAATTCAAATACATTTAAACAGCCTTCTTGCTTTGTAGCTATGACAAATGTATGTTTTTTCACCTCCTTTGTAGCAGTAAAAGGGAGAAATTTCACCATAGTAATTTTTATGCTAATGTAAATTCTCGCATGAGCCGAAGCATGATGCCATTCTAGGAATAATAGTAGAGTGTCTCCATAGCTTTGTGTACAGATGTTTATCAAACTTTTTTCGTTTTCTTAGAGGAAGTTCCACTTTTACTTGTTCATCATGTTAAACAGCTTGTTTGGACAATAGTAGTTGCCAATATTTCTTCAAAACTTTGTCGCGGGTAATTTTGAAGACAAATTGTTGTATATACTGTTCATTTGCAGCCAACTGTTAATCTAAACCGTTTGGCACTTGGCGACTTTTTAAATAGTGAGTCTTACCCCTCTTATTCCACAGGATTCTACTCGTTACGTATCGACGTCACACACATCACAGTCTAGTGTTATCTAATTTTCTGTATAAAAGTGATAATAAGTTATTAATATAAATTTATTTGAACATTTGGACATTATTAAGAATAAGAAAATTAAAACAAGTCTAGGAAAGAACCGAAATATAAAAACTGTCACCCTGAGATGTGTGCCTCCAAATACCCAAGTTTACGATCGGGGTAAAAATAGGAAAACGTGTCTTAAAAGGAAAAACTAATCCCAACATGGATACAATTTTCGTCACTGACACCATGCTGACACCCTGAGCATGTTGTAGCAATACAGTACGGAGAAAATGTGTTTAAAGGTTGGACATGAATTTAATCCATCCTTATACTTGTGTGATTATACAGAAATGTAATTAAGTAATGCTTTAACTGGTGAATTTAGATCAGAAATCAGTTCGCGAAAACGAAAATAACCTGGATATGACTTAAAATTTTCTATATGGTTCTATATGGTTCTAGCGCGTGCCGCGCACTGACGCACAATGGGTGTCAGTTCGTGGTGATGAAAACTTAAAATGACAAAAAATCCCGGAAAATATGGAGAGGTCTCCCCCCCAAAAAGTACTGGATTCACACACTAAAATACAAAGCCCCATTAAATGGGCTCTACTACGCGGGTCATACTGACAAAAAAAATTACTTTCTGGGACCCGTCAATGTTCTGAACCTTGCCCAGAGGATTGCTCAGTACAGCGCCCTCATTCGCTAGCAAATCGCCAATTCAGCCAAAGACTGGGCCAAGCAGATCAGACGCCAAAGAACATTATTGTCAGAGTGTATATGCTCATATGTCTCCTCCTTACTGGGTTCAGGCCCCTAGTTTGTAGA